GATCGAGTAATAGAACAACAAACTTGATCATACATAAAATAACATGATCCAACAACAAAGTAATAGACTCAATCTTACATGAATGGACAAAGCGAAGATGAATCTAACTATGTTATCATATGAAGAGTTTCAAGTTTATTTGAATAAATGTAGTATTCATTAATCAATATGAATATATAGGCTTGTCTTTTATAGACAAATACAGATGACAATAATATAAAAAAATAAAAAACACCTGTATTATACCCAAACTTATCGTAAAATACAAGATATTGTAACTGCCTTCCCATATATGTTGATTGCCATATACACCTTTTATATTAACTTAGTAGACAATATAAACTCTCCTTGCACAGTTTTTTGAGAGATAGACATGCTTTTAGAGAGAGAAAGAGATGGGGTATTCGGGTGGAAAAATAGGTTTCTAGAGAGTGATAACTAATGGGTTTTTAGAGGGAGAGGAGGGTGGTGGGGGTGGGAGAATAAGGAGGGTGAGTGGCCACGATTTCCCACCCCTCTTTCGAATCTTTTTTATTTCACAATGTTTTTTTTTTGGCTTTTAAATTCTTCTAAAAAATATTTTTGCACAATTTTTTATAGATCTTTTGTTTTTTGGCTTGCAAACAAAAAAAAGATAGATATTAAAAAAAAAGAAAAATAGATTGTATACTATTAGACCATTTATCTTTGATATAAAGACGTCACAATTATTTCTAGTTATTGGACGTCAAATTAGATGTCTTGGGGTGTGCATGAAGTTCGAGAAGTTTTTTTTAACTTTGAATCTAGTCAATAAAACTTTTATAACCACCGGATTTGAAATCTGATGGACAAGAGTAGTTGTAACCTCCTTGTATTAAAGTAAATGGTCACTTTGTGTATTTTTTCTTTTAAAAAAAAATCTAATTGGGTCAGGCCTATATTTGGACCAGCTCAAGCCCAGCCCAAAAGACACTTACAGGCCAAGCACAGGACGGGACGGACCGGGGCCGGCCTGTAACAATGAATTTTTCAGGCCGAGCACTGGGAAGGGGCTACAAATATTACATGCTATTTCGGCTTGGGTCGACCCAAACCCGGCTCAGTGGCAGCCCTATGGCGACAAAAGAAGTAAGGAAAGGAGAACTCCAACCTCACCTTCTGTACCTAAAACCTAAGTAGCAGCTGACAAATTCATAAAGTAAGATACCTTAACTCATAGAGAAAAGTACGTGGAAAACGTATTACAAACTATCTCATTTACTAAATACAATAAATAACGATTTTGTTAACGATAAAAATTTATATAAAGTTGATACCCCTTTTAAAATTCCTCAAAAAGGATTGCTTTGATATTGGAAAAACATCTATTTGATCATCTCGATATTGTGATGTATATATATGAAGAAAAGATATTTTAAGTCTTAAAATAGTAGATATTATAATACATTATCTGGACCATCCATTTTAAAGATTTTTATATGTTTATATATCTGCCTCATTTGAAACATTTTTTTATTCTAAAATTTTATAATTAGAGATAAAAATAGATTCTCGTACCATCCATACTTTTTTTTTGGGTGAGTAGATGAAAATAGCCTTCATGGTAATCTTAGAACCGTGAAGCCATCACGGTCTATTAAAAACCGTGGTAGTCATAGCGAGTTGTAAGTCAAATGTAGTTTTGAAGCATCATGGCACTTAAAGAAGCATCACGGCACTTAAAGAACTGTGATGGTTTATTGGACTATCGCAGTATTTAACCATTATACCTTTGTCACGGGGCATAAGAACCTTAACGATTCTCATGGCTATTTAAGTGTCATGTTGCCGCTTAACAACCATCATGGTTTAAGTGATGTTATGCCTCAAAACATTAAACCGTCCATGACCATCACGGTAATAAGTCTACCGTGATGTCTTCACGGTTTTTAGACTACCATGAAGGTTATTTTGATTAAAAAAAAAACAAAAAGTGAAGAAAAGGAGTATGGATGATGTTTTAAAAATTTTTGAGTTTATTTCCAATAATCCAAAAATTAAAGTATATTTTATAATTTTCCAAAAAATTTATAAAATAGGATACCTTGACACAAAGAAAACGAAATTAGTGGAAAACTTACTACAAATTATCTTACTTAGCCAAAATAATAACATATGATTCTTTCAGTAGTCTTCCCGTTGATAATGTAGCTTTTTTATCTCATTGGAGGAACTAATAGTCATAGTTATTAGGATTGGATTGGCTACCAAACCAATGAAGGGTTCATCTAATCAAAATTGGTTCAATTACTATTTTAATCGGTTACACCAGATTTAAAAAAATAAAATGAAAAAAGAATAATAGTTCAAAATTATATATTAGAAAAACTTTTAAAATTTGCTTAATTTGTTGAATGGGTTAGAACTGGACAATTAGATAGGCCAAAATTGTTGTTTCAACCTAGTTAAATACTTATTTTGACCGTTATTTTACTAAATTTGGTTTTTGTTTAAATTGAACATGCCAAGGCAAGAGTCGGCAATCTTATCAATCGAACTGGGTGGTTTGGTACAATCTTAATAACTATGCTACTAGTATAAATTTTATTATGGAAAATATACTAATAGCATAGCATTTCACTAATAGTGAATTTCTATTTTGTAAGAATGGGCTCAAGGGTGGAAGGCACCACAACAACATGGCTCCTTGAATTTTATTCCTATTATGTGTAAGGGACCTCTTTTCCACTAAACTACCCAAAAAGAAAATTTCTATTTTCTCACATGAGAGAAATGCACAAACTTCCCCTACAAGATCAACCAAAATAATTTGCTAATCGCCCACAAGAAATTTTGCTAGCTACCCAAAATGGTAATATTAAGAGGATTTGGGAATCCATGTTCCAAGTGGTCATTTTATTTTCTCTAGGAGCAACACAAACACAACTGTTAACCCTTAGCTGAAACCAAAGCACAAGATTTAGATAAACAAGGAATAACATGAAATAGCAGGTATTGAAAGTCTAAAAATTAGATGTGTTCAGAGAGCCAAAATATTCCTACTCCAACATGAGTATACTATCCATCTACTCCCTTAGGCAAAACTAATGATAGCATTATTTTTTAGATCCCAAAGTTTGGGGATGTCATCTTTCAAATCCAAGGGACCGACCTTAAAGAAAAAAAAAGAACTAAATTCTAATCTCTAAATGTCTAAAAAAAAGAGTGACATCCCAAGATTGTACAAGAACCATCCAATATTTGTTGGAGCGGGAGATCAAGATGTTCAAGTCAATATCCAAATATTTACCTTCGCTAATTATCACCTATTGATACCCAACAACTATTTTCCCCAATGGAGTTTTTATATGGTATGCTCCCATTGTCAGTATAGGCATTGGTAATCATGGCCGTTGACAGTCGAAAAAAAAAAAAATGATGTCCTCCATAGAAGCAAAAAGGCACTCATATTTTACAACACATTGACATGCATATCCAATGGTCTGACCACATGTTGACACTTCTTTAACATAGACACATGTGTTGACACTTCTAGAAAACATGTGACACTCATATAGAGTGTCACATGGCGTGTTCCTTATTTTAAAAATACTTTATTTTTGGAATGTGGTGTTTCTTTGTTTGCAAAATCAATTCTTTAATTAATTATTTGATTTTAAATATTTTTTAAATGGATGTATATTATAAAGAAAATTTCTCCTCTATTGCTAGAAAGGCATCCATTAGGATTGTACTAGCAATAGCAAATTATTATACTTTTGATATACATCAAATGGATGTAAAGACAACATTTCTCTATAGTAAATTAAAAGAAGAGATTTTTATAATACAACACAAAGGATTCGAATATAAAGGATGAGAAGGCAAAGTGTGCAAGTTAAACAAATCCCTTTATGATGTTAAACAATCATGAACACAATGGTATTTAAAGTTCAATGGGGCACTGAAGAACTCACACATTGTACTTTATTTATCTTTCCTTATTATAAAAATGGGTAGGCCCAAAATCTCTACTAATTTATCCAAAGAAAAAAAGTTTATATTAGGTTGCAACCTTAAATTGTAGATTTATGGTGCACCTAAAAAATCTGACTGTTTTGATTTTGTAAAACCTTCTAATTGATCATCTCGATGTTGAGATGTGTAGAAATGAAAAAAAAATAGATTTCTAGTCTTTAAATAGTGCATCATTATGTGGATCATTTATTTTTAAGATTTTCATGTATTTATAGATCTACTAGATTTGAAACATTTTTAGAGTTTAAATTTTTAGTATTAATAATAAAAATAGATAATCAGGCCATGCTAATAAATTTGGACACCGAAATTACATCTCATAATAAAATTCAAAGCTGCACCTTACTTTGATTGTTCAAGGTTGTAACCTTGTGCAAACTACACCCTCATACAAAATGAAAAAGTTTATATATAGCCGAGGCTCTAAACAATCAAATTAGAGCCCACCTCAAAAATTTAATTAGAAAAGATTGTTCTGATGTTCAAATATCCTCAAATTGATCATCTCGACATCATGATGCATGAGCATGAGAAAAAAATGAATTTCAAGTTTTGGAAATAATGCATCTTGTAATGCATTTTTGGACTGTCTCAAGTTTTTATATATCTGTTCGATCTTCACTATTTTTGAAGCTTTAAATTTTATAATTAAAGATGAAAAATATATTTTAAAGCTGTAAGAAAGATTTTCAATATCGAAACCATATTTTTCGACACTATTTTAAAGTGCATTTTACTTTGATGTTTAGAGCCTCGGCTCTATTGCTTCTGATTTTCCTAACTTTTTTCGGGTGTGCACTTCAAGTTTTCGATTAAGGGCACGTTTGACGCATGTAAAAATATTTTTGTGAAAGTATGTTAATACAAAAGATCTCCCCAAATTATTAGATATGGGAGTTTTTTTCGCGTGGCACAACTTTTCACGCGGTGTGAAAGAACTTCCGCATGTAATCACGCAGGGACTTATTCTCGGGAGAAAATACTTCCACGAAAGCAATTTAATGCATAACAAACATACCCTAAAAATGCCGTCAACCCGTGAACTGAAACGCTAGCTCTTAACGAAGGAATCGCTGTTTCATCCCTCTCAGCGTTGTCCTGCACAGGAGATTGAGGGAGGGGGAAAGAGAGGATGTTGAGGTTGAAAGTGTTTGGGCACGCGCTCAAATCCAATATCACTCAAAACCCTAATACTAAACGCGGTCTCCCTCTTCTTCCGGATGGTCGATGTAGGGCTTTCTGCACTGCTGGCTCTGAGCAGCAACAACAACAAGAGGAAGGAGCTTCTTCGCCAGTGGATCCTTTTCTGCAACCACCTCCTAAAGGTTTTCATTCCACCATTTTTTTTCGTCTTTACTTCTTTCAATCCATTTTGTTTCTTCAGCCCATGCACAACACACTCACACATACAGTCTCTCCCTTTCTCTCTCCTTTAACTTGTATACAACTCTCTCTCTCTCTCTCTCTCTCTTTCTGACTACCTTTTGGCAAGTTTGGAGATTGATCATCTTGTTATAGGAATGTAGATGCCCTCCTTCTTGGTTCTTCATTCTTGGAGAGACACCCCTCTGTCTCTCGTTCAGAAGTTTGTAAAATAGACTTGGTATCAGAATGATAAATACTCTCAATCCTACCAGATTCTTGAAAATTTTTGTACTTGAAAGTGGTTGAACTTTCAAAACCTGATCAAAACTCAGCTCCTCATTTCATGGCTAATATACAGATGTTTATAAATTCATTCGGATTCTGCAATACTCAGGTCCCCATTTCTGAGCTTTTCAAAACTCAGATTATTTTCATTGTGAGGATTTGCTCTGAAATTAACGAGCTTGTTACATTTACTTTATTTTGTTTATTTAGTTTCTCTTTGATGCTTTGCTGTTGCTAAGGACCAACAAATTGCAATTACAAGGGTAAGAAGAGCATAATTGATGTTTGATTGGACTAGCTATTGTGAGAGCATTGCTCGTAAATCTAAAGTAAACCCAAAAAAATATGACTCCATGACTTCCGAACATGGTGGTTTCCTATGATGATACAATTTAGTAACTCTTTTAAACATAATTCTTTTTTACTTTATCGTGATTTTCATAGAGAAGTTGTGATGTTGTATTTGTTCATGATTTAATTCTTTCTCCTCCTGGCAATTATTGTTGCATAATTTACTAGGTTCGATTATTTAGCTTGAGTCCCGATTACGAAGTCATGGAAAGTACCATTCAGCTGGTTGTTTCATTGGGAATATATTCTATTAATGCCAACTATTATTTCAAGAATAAGAGCAATTCTTGCTGCCTGGTGTTGGAGTCATTAGTTTCCTTAATTCTGTACGGCATTTTATTTTGTTAGAGTAGTGATGATACTTGAGATTTATTTATTTGTCATATCTTGCTAAGTTCAATAATGAGAGTTATTTGGCGGTTTGTATATCCCTCGTTTTCAGGTCTAACGTATGGAAGGTTGACTGGCTTCGGTCGAAATGCATTGAAAACGGATCTCATCCATTTCTTTGATGGGTGTAATTTGACTGTTGAGGATATCAAAGTTGAGTACAATAGGACATTCGTTCCGCTTGGCATGTATGTTCTCTCCATCTTCTTTTTTCTTGTGCAATTTACTGGGTAAGAAATTTTGACATGTAGTGTAGGATAGAAAATGTCATATTTAATGAAGTTCATATAGGTTGCAATCTTCATTTTTTCTTTTTTCTCTTTTCTCTTTTAACCGTCTCTTGGTTAGGTTAGTGTGGATTTTGAATCCACAATTTAGAGATTGCAATGGAGAGCTTTAGAGGCTGGGTATAAATGTAATGCTTAAACAATCCGGCCACATTTTCTTTCATCGGTGGCAATGACAAGACAACAGACAATAACCCATTACATATAGACATGACATCTTTCATCAGGGATTATGGGGAGACAATTGAACAATAACCCCTCTTAGCAATGATACAACCACCTGCCCTGTATTCTTGATTGTCGAGTAACCCACCCATCAACAGCGCACTAACTCATCCCTTCCCACCTTTACGCAACCTTTGCTCTTTCTAGTCACAACTTTGGACCCTTTCCATCAAAGACAATAAGTGTTATCCTAGACCACCATCTCAACCATCTAGCCAAAGCCAGTTATACAATCAAAATACTTCCCTAGACCCTTCATCTTACCAACACTCCTCATTTCTACTTACACAAATTTCTATAACTGATGGCACACTCACCAACTTTGCAAGAGATTGGAAAGAATCTTGTGAGCTGACCTTAAAGGCATCACAAATTGGGCAAAAAAGTTAACACTACTCAAGTCTTTTGCAGATTATTGGATGATGGAGGTATTATATTCTCTTTGCCATCACAGACCACAAGTATGTCTTTCAAAGGCCCTTCTTTAGTTTAAACCATCGCAGCAATCCTTGGGAGCTAGGGAAAAGCAGAAAATATGGATCAAAGTCCATGGTATACTGTTGCATTCATGGTACCATGATTTTCGGGCAGACCGATGATATTCGTGGAGGCTTCTCAAGGTGGACTGAAACTCATTTGGCTCGTTCCACTCAGCTTCCTACATATCGTAATCGAAAATGCAAAACCATCAAGTTCATCAACCTGAACATTGCTCAATCATGCTTCCTGGTCCATATCGACCATGACCGAGAAATCTAAGATAGTGTTGGGGTACCATTTGGGAAATCACCTTTGACTTATCCCACACTCGCTCAGTATCAAGGTAAATAATCTGGAGCATGACCACAAAGGCTTGCGGATCCAGGTTCACATGAAAATTCAACAGAAAAGGTAAGGCCATCCATCAACCGCAAAAGAGAGTGCGAAAGAATTGATGATGTGGTGAAGAGGCGGGTCATTGTCACATCCAACCTTCCGATGACATGTGGAGCAGGTTGAACGCATTAGGTGGAAATACCTGGAGATAAAGAGCCATACACTCCCCCATAAGTCGAATTCAAAAGCAAGTTTGAATTCAAATTCGAATTTAAATTTAAATTGAATAAGAACTCGTGTCATCCAAATGGCCTACCCTACTCAAAGCCACATGGTCCATCCCTATCAACCATGGCTGTCGTCCCCCAATTCAAATCCAAATCTTAAACCAATTTTGACTTCAATGTTGAATCAAACTTCATCGGCTACTGGACATCCTTCCCTCTCTAAATCCTTATCGGCCATCAAGCCAGACCTGAATCAGATGGCGACCATTGCTCTGGTTGTTTCTTCTCCTTCAAGATGCCTTACGTCATCCACATTAAGCTTTGAACAATGGGACAGTCTCCCATCATGCCATCTCAAGACCACCTTGGCAATGATATCCCCAAGGCCAGCCATGTCTTGTACATAGATGCAACTACTTGGACGGACCGGAACCTTCCACACTGTCCATTGAACCACCACCACCTCACACTAACTAATGTTTTCCCTCTGCCATGACTCCCACCACAATAGTTTCTGTAGCCTGTGCCATCAAATCGTCCGTCATTCCAATGCTGATGCTCCAGATACAATCAGCCCAAGAAAACCCCTCAATCTATTACCCTCCCTTACCCAATGGCCTTCTGCCCTCTCTCTCGTCATACAGCATAATTCTCACCTCATTCCTGCTCTCCTTCCACCCTCCACAACTGCGATCCCTGTAATACGTCTCCTACAAATACCATTGGCCCTTTTGAGGTCAACCTCCTAGTGTCAAACACGTATAGTTTGAGTGGATTGAAAACCAAGCCTGGTCAAAGGCAAGAATATTAAAAATCCAGCACCCTTGCCCATTATATCCAATCCACCATTCCGGTTCTCCAAATCTCTCAACCTAGTGTTTCAATGGTTCTCCAAATAGACACCACAAATTGTCTAACTATACCCCTGGAAATGGTTTACACCCCTATCCTTCTTTCTGTAGCTTTGGAAAAGCCAATCTCTCTTGGACATCCAGAAATTTATAGAAAACCTTTAACCAACACCTCTTCTAGCCCCCCTTCTCCCACCTTTTGCTACCCAAAACCTGGCTTTCCCAATATTTCAAATACCATACCCCCTTCTTCCCACCTTTACCTCCCTTCCCCCGCCTTTTGCTACCCAACTCTTGACTTTCCCAAGAAATCGAATACCATACCACCAAAAACATACACAAGTTTCAGTGGCCTTTCCTTCTCCATCTTAAAGTTTTTGCTGGTCCCAAACACAAGATATCACTCCCTACCGCTAAATTCTTGACCTTGGAACCCCAATAATATGGAAGGCATACTGGAGAAACTTGATTCCCTATATCAGATTGAGAGTATTTTTCTCTGCAGATTGGATGAAACTGAAAGAAATGATAAGAGTGGAAGGAAAATTGATCAACCGCTTTGAGTCATGGAGTTCATGTACGACGGACCGGTTAGCGAAATTAGAAAGTCATTTAAGTGAGATTCCATCAAGGAAGCCACTTCCATAGGAAAAAGTTGCAGAGAACACAAAGACTAAACTTTCCATAAAACATAAACGAAATCTGGGAACATGAATCCCCGTGCCCTCAGCCCCTAGCTTATCTATTATCGAGGATCAGAGTTGTTGACGCTTCCATATGCATCAACACTTTCCCATCCCTTCCTAAATGAGAATAGTGGCATGGAATGCTTGATTAGGTGAACTCATAATGAAAATTCAATTGTCAACCAGATCAGAAAATCATCATCATCATCATTCGAGCCTTATCCTAACTATTTGGGGTCGGCTACACGAATCATGTTCTGCTATTCCACTCTGTCAAGGGCCACACCCTCAGTCAAACCCTAAGTGACCATAACTCGTCTCACTACTTCCATCCATGTTTTTTAGAGCTTCCCCTTGCCCTTTTAGAGCCTTTCCATTTGAACCAAATTGCCCCTCTTAACTGGTGCTATTCTAGGTCGGCACTGCACTTGGGAAGACCACCTAAGTCTACTTTCCCTCATCTTATCCCCTATTGGAGCTATCCCTAAGTTCCCTTTGATGTGATCGTTCCGAATTCTATCATTTCATATCTTGCCACTTATTCATCTCAACATCCTCATCTCAACTAGATCTGAAAATACTATTCCAATATTCTAGGTCATAAAAACAAAACTAGACTCCCTTAACCTATCCTTGTTCCGTCACAGTCTTGCATAGGACAATTCTTGGTCAATTTTTCTCTCTAGAGGCTTAAATAATTACACATGTAGATTCACAACAGTTTGTGGGCTTAATAGATTGAACCTCAGGAAATATTTCTTGGTAAAACTAGGACATGTTTGATCCCCTGGTGCATTGGTGTCAACTTGAACGTCACCAAATGTACTTTTGAAAAAAGACAAAGATAGATGCATTACAGCCAATATGGCTTGTTTATCGGTTTTTCTTTTTCAGAACAACCTTGTTGACCTTCCTCTCAATGGTGCCTCTTACACATGGTCCAACCACTTGAATCGCTCTGTCTTGAGCACACTAGGTAGGTTTATAATTTCTCTCATATGGGAAGAGAAGACGAATTTCAAGGAATTCACTCTAGAACTCTGCCTGAACCCACTCTAATCTCACTCCCATCTTCTTAGATACTGAACCTGCTCCAAATGGTCTCAAAACCTTCCACTTTGAGTTGATACTGCTCAAGGACCCAGAGCCGTATCACCTAATAGACTACAAGAAATTACATTCTTGAAGGAGAAGCTCAAACAATGGGTATGAGCAGTTTGGTGAATTTTTCTCGAAGAATGAAGCCTAACTCAACAAAATCAGCAATCTAGTTTTGATTACTGAAACCAGAGATTGAACCCAGGGAAAAGAGTGCAGAGAATTAGAGGCCAAATTGAGTTTGGAAAGGTCGGCAAGCAAGAAGAGTAGATTTTTTGGCACAGTTGCTCAAGGAGCAAGTGGCTCAAAGAGGGCGACTAGAGCACAACCTTTTTCGATAAGACAAGAACTGCTGAAGGGCTAGCATTATCCTTCAAATTGAGCATTGTTAAGATGAGCCACAAGAAGTCAACCAAATCATCACAGAACACTATAAGAACCTACACCACCCCAGGTCAGGCAAGACCAACTCTCTAAAACTTGAATATTCGAACCATATAAAGGGAGAGCATTGAGTGGTTAGAGTCACCTTTATTGGACTCCAAAATCAGCAAGGCTGTTGCTGAACTTGGTCATGACAAAGCTCTCAGCCTGGATGGTTTTCCTATTGCTGTGTTCCACTATCGTTGGAATTGCCTAGCCTTTGAACATCTAGGTGGTGTTCTTTGAGTTTTTCAAAGGGGTTTTCATCCACCAGGGGATGATATCCAACTTCATAGCCCTGAATCCAAAGAAAGAAGGCGCTGAAGAGCTGAAAGATTTAAGACCACTAAGTCTAATCAACTGATTGCTCCTCCTATCCAAGTCCTTACTTCTTGTCTGGTACTGGTTTTGAACTAGGTCATTTCACAACTCAAGGGATCCTTTCATCAAAACTGTCAAATCTTGGATGGATTTCTGATAATACATGAGTGCTAGGAACCAATACCTGGTTCTGAACTAGGTCATTTCACCACTTAAGGGATCCTTTTTGCAAGACCATCAAATCTTGGATGGAT